CGGGCGGGGACTTGGGAAAGGGGTTTGCGCGGGCTGCGAGTGGAAGGATCGGGAGCGGTGAGTTTGGCTGAGAAGTGAAATCAAGTACTGAATTCGCTCCGGATCATGGTTTCATATCCCCGCTTTTCAGATTCCACCCCCATCCCGGCCACTCCCGTTGCTTTTCCACCAATCATTCTTGACACGTATCCAGTTTACAATCTAGTGCCTCTGTATTTGCTTGCAATGACCACAAGATTCCGTGGTTCGTGTTTCTGGACGCTAAAGTCTCCGCTTGTCTCTATTTCCCCCGCATCCGCCCCCATCAGGGTCTGGTGAGCTCGGCGCAGGTGGCGCGATTCATGTCGATCGACGCGCGCCCCACCATCGCGCGCATCGTCTCCCGCGCCACGCCCGCCGAGGTCTCGCGCGCGTTCGTCGGCCGGTGAGTTCCGTGTCCGGTCTTGATCCTATCTCATGCCGTCAGATTCCCCACATCCTTGCGCCGATCTGCTTCCGCTCCGTCCCCGTTGACGTAGCACGCCTCTGGTTCGCGGTGAGTGGTTTCGTTTGCGATCCATGCTGACTGGAAGAAAAGAAGGAATGGTTCTGTTGGAAAGCAGAGAGAGGGGTGGGTCAGGGCGAACCGGAAGTGGGAGGTTGCGGGAAATAGATGGGTGGTTGGGGTCCGGCATGCATACACCAGCTGCTGCTGCACCAGGCCGTCCTGCCTATCTTTCCTATCGAGTCCGTCCGTCCTTACCATTCCATTCCCTGTCCTCCCTCCCGTGTCCTCCCCCATTCCCTCCACCCCCCCTCTCCCCCCCTGGCAGCATGATGGCGGATCCGGCGTTCATCTACAAGCTGCTGCTGGAGCAGGCGGTCACCGTTGGCACGTCGGCCTGGTGGGAGGTCAAGCAACGCGGCGACAGGTGAGCGCCTTGCACCACGGAACTCGACCAAAGAGTAGGGATCTGCAGGGTTTTCGAGTGAAGGAATCTGTTCAGGCCAAGCTAAAGGTCTAGTCTTATGCATTCTGAGAATCTCTTCCGTTTGTCAATTCGATGGTCGTTGTCAAGATTCAGATTTTTCTTTCCACAATGGGGCCAGCCCATGCTCTCTCCAGCCACACTCATCCCCCGGATTCCCATCAGAATCTGGATTGAAGTCCCCTGCAACCGTCCCCCTGACGCCCTCCCTCCCCTCTTCTCCTTCACCCTATTCTCCCTTCCGCAGACTGAAGGACGAGTGGGGGCTGGCCCTTACGAACGTGCTGACGCTCTCTCTCTGCAACGCGGCGGCGGTGTGGTCGCTGTCCCCCACGCGCTCCTACGGCAGCACGGCCACGTCAGAGTGGCAGATGGCGCTGCAGAAGCTGCCCAACCACATGTTCGACAAGAGCTACCCCCTGCGCTAGTTCATTCATCACGTTCCCCCGTTTCCGCCCCCTTTCGCCTCCCCCATTCCCCGTTCCCCCTCGCCCAGACTGAAGGACGAGTGGGGTCTGGCGTTGACAAACGTGCTGACGCTCTCTCTCTGCAACGCGGCGGTGGTGTGGTCGCTGTCCCCCACGCGCTCCTACGGCTCCACGGCCACGTCGGAGTGGCAGATGGCGCTACAGAAGCTGCCCAACCACATGTTCGACAAGAGCTACCCGCTGCGCGAGTTCAACCTGCCCGCCCGCGCCGGCAGCTTCTTCTTTAATGCTGCGAAGCTCAGCCTCGTGGGATCCACGGTCGGGGCTCTGGGGGGACTTGCCTCCAACGCTATTTACTCAGCCGTCTCTAAGGGGTAAGCATGGTCCGTGCTTGCCTCTCCTTGCTCGTCGTGTGCGCAATCCTCAGTTGCTGCCTGCTGGTCCTGCAGTCCCGTTTGTCCCATTGCTTCTGCGACCTCGAAGTTCCTCGACCATCTGAGCCACCCTCCACTCGGACTCCACTTTTCAACCTCAACTCCTCCCACTTACACACCCTCATAGCCTCCTCTCGCATTTCCCCCATTTCCCTCTGCACCTTTCCCTTCGTCTCCCCCTTTCCCCTTTCTCCCCTGTGCAGCAAGGAGGGGTACCGGCCGTCAGTGGTGGTGCCATCAGCCAGCACGAGTGCAGCGGCGTACGGGGCGCACACAGGGCTGTCAGGCAACCTGCGCTACCAGCTGCTGTACGGGCTTGACCGCGTGTTGCAGCAGCACTTCAACCACATCCCCGTTGCTGTCCTCGGCACCACCGCCCTCAGGTGAGCCTTGCAGGACGCACTCAGGTCGCACATGGGGCTGTTAGGGGGCTGCATTTGGGCCTGTGGGGATGCACTCAAGGCAGGGCTGTTGGGGGGGTTGGTGTAGACACAGGGCTTGCTGTCAGGCAACCTGCACTACCAGCTGCTGTACGGGCTTGACCGCATGCTGCAGCAGCACTTCAACCACATCCCCATTGCTGTTCTCGGCACCACTGCCCTCAGGTGGGCCTGTTGGGGGGTTGAGCATGTGCGGGTGCTGGGGGGTTGCACGCGCATGGGGTTGTGGGGCTGCACACAGGGTGGGGGGCTAGAAACAGGGCCGGCTGTCACACAACCTGCGTTACCAGCTGCTGTATGGACCGGACCGTGTGCTGCAGCAGCACTTGAAACACTTGTCGTTGCCGTTCTCGGCACCACCGCGCTCAGGTGGGTGGGCTTCTCAGGTCGCATGTCGTACTGGCATTACTTGCAGGGCTGTGGGGGGGCTACACACAGGGCTGCTGGGGGCTACATGTAGGGCTGTGAGGCTGTTCATGTGGCTGTGAGGCTGTTCATGGGGCTGTGAGGCTGTTCATGGGGCTGTGAGGCTGTTCATGGGGCTGTGAGGCTGTTCATGGGGCTGTGAGGCTGTTCATGGGGCTGTGAGGCTGTTCATGGGGCTGTGAGGCTGTTCATGGGGCTGTGAGGCTGTTCATGGGGCTGTGAGGCTGTTCATGGGGCTGTGAGGCTGTTCATGGGGCTGTGAGGCTGTTCATGGGGCTGTGAGGCTGTTCATGGGGCTGTGAGGCTGTTCATGGGGCTGTGAGGCTGTTCATGGGGCTGTGAGGCTGTTCATGGGGCTGTGAGGCTGTTCATGGGGCTGTGAGGCTGTTCATGGGGCTGTGAGGCTGTTCATGGGGCTGTGAGGCTGTTCATGGGGCTGTGAGGCTGTTCATGGGGCTGTGAGGCTGTTCATGGGGCTGTGAGGCTGTTCATGGGGCTGTGAGGCTGTTCATGGGGCTGTGAGGCTGTTCATGGGGCTGTGAGGCTGTTCATGGGGCTGTGAGGCTGTTCATGGGGCTGTGAGGCTGTTCATGGGGCTGTGAGGCTGTTCATGGGGCTGTGAGGCTGTTCATGGGGCTGTGAGGCTGTTCATGGGGCTGTGAGGCTGTTCATGGGGCTGTGAGGCTGTTCATGGGGCTGTGAGGCTGTTCATGGGGCTGTGAGGCTGTTCATGGGGCTGTGAGGCTGTTCATGGGGCTGTAGGTTGTTGGGTGTTGCCATGCTTTGACTTGACTCACGGGATCTTTCTCTTGTGGTGTGTATTGTAATCACCTGCAGGTGTGGCAACGTTCTATTGGGCGAGCCATCTCGTCTAATGTGGTTGGGGATGGATGGCGAGGCGCAGCAACAGGCCAAGGCAGAGCAGCAGGCATACCGCCGCCCGTCCCACTCGTCCGGTGCCGGCTCCAAGACAAACTCGTTCCTGCAATCACTGCCCTTCGGCAAGAAAACAGACGAAGCACAGCCCAAGAAAAAGAGCTCTGCTAGGAGAGTGACCAAGGCTGCGGCTGCAGGAGGGGCGGAGAGTGGAGCAGAGGCGGGTGCAGAGGGGGCGGAGAAGGTGCAAGGGACAGGAGGTGCAGCTCGCACGACAAAGCGCAAGGTGAAGCGGAAGGTGTCAGTTGCTCAGTAGGTCTTATTGTACTGTTAATGAATAGCATTACTGCATTGTCTGATTTTTTCCATGTTATGGAAATTCATTATGGTTCTCCCTCATTGACAACCCTAGAAGAACCAGGACCAAAACATTGTCAGTTTTGTTAATACGGTATGTGCATGAGGAAAACGTAACAATTGTCCGTGTATCCCTGCTGCGCGAAGACTAGCGGATTTCATTTCGCTAAATTGCTCCCAGCGGCACCTGCCAGCCGTGTGCTGACGTGTTTCGCACCATCGCCATGCAAGCTCACAACATCCAGCCCAGGCATGTGCGCAACCACACCGCACACTATCACGTGACGCGCCAGCACAATGTCTGCGCTGTTGAAATTCGAACGACTCCTTTCGCCACAGGTAGTGGTGTCGCAGGCATCCACGGCGTTGATTTGCTTCCTTGGAGCGGCGCGGGCTTCTTTCGCCGCCAGAGCCTCCAATCGTTGCTGCTGCTGGTACGAGCAAGCGATGAACTGCCCTCCCTCTCTCTTCCTGCATTGGACTCGTTTCTTTGCCCTGCGCGATGTGTGAAGACAGTAGGTTGGGTGCGTTCAAGACGAGAATAGTAGCCATCCCGCGGCCAGATGCGTTCGACGGCGTTCGCTTATTTCTTGGGCACGCGAAAGGTCCAGTGATATCAGGTTGGGTGATAGCCAGAGGTAGTGCACCAGATACGGGGACTTTCAAGAGGTTGTGCGAGCGACTAGTGTGACGAGCGGAGTAGTGCGGCGAGCGACTAGAGCGACGAGCAAGTCTTGCGACGAACGATCAGCGCGACGAGTGGTTGAGGCCGAAATGGCAGCAGCCGCTTCAGTCTGCTTCAGTAACAGCAGCGGCAGTGGCGGCGGAGGCGAACACAAGGAGAAAGACACGAGGATCTCTCGCCGCAGCGCGTTCAGGCTACAATTCCTGAGCGCAGTTCCCGACTCGCCCCTTGACCCCTCCTCCCTCCTCTCCTCCCCCACCGTCACCTCCCCCTCCGCCTCTACCGCCGCCACCGCCGCCGCCGGTGCCGCGGAGGTCATAGCGGAGAGCATTTCATCCGCGTCGTTCATTCGTCGGCGCGCGCACAACGAGGCTTGCGCGCATGGGATGGGGCACGTTGAAGGCGACTATCGTATCGCGCGGGAGAAAGATGAGACTAGCGATGGTGACTATACCGCGCGGGAGAAGCATCTTGACGCGTACACAGCGGACGACGACGAGGCGACTGTGCGACGTCGCCTGGCGGCCGAGGGGATGGAGATGCGCGACCTGGTGCCACGTGGACGAATGAGCGCGTGGCACGCGGCCATCGTGTTCGTTTATCACATGCTGCCGTACACGCCCCTCCCCTGCACGCTCGCCACGCTGGCCTGCTTCTACGGGTACAGGTGAGTCAACGGGGTCAACAAGGTCAACCCTGGTCAATTTGACATGTCTCTGGTAAAAAAGCTGGATTATAAGTCCAATCTTGTTATGTGCAGTCAATAAGGTCAACTCTGGTTGAGGTTTCCAGTTCTAGTCAGCTTTGCCAGAACCAGATAACTCTGATCGAATCAGTCAAACTCTTATCAAACAATAAACGCTTGCTAACTCAGCAAGTGCTGACTCAGTACACCACAATAACTTCGCTCCAACGTTCGTTTGTGTAAATGTCTGCTCATTTGACCATGTCATCTGCTGCGTACGCATGCGCATGCGGCGTTTCATCTCTGGTGTGACGTGGCAGGGCGTACGGCTGGCAGGGCGCAGTGGCGGTGGTGCTGCTGCTGCTCTTCCTCCGCCTCATTCCCCTCAATTACAACTCCGCCTGGCGCAAGAAACTCACTGTAAGCAGCTTCGATGTTTGTCATAAGCACTAAATTCACAAGTCTAACATCTCTGTGTGATGTCAAAATCAGCCTAATAATTTTCCTGTCTGCGCACTCCTCCCCACCCCCCTTCCCTCTCCCGATATTTCTCCCCCGATATGTGCTCCCCGCGCTTCCCTGCCTGCCCCTCTCCTCTCTTCCCTCTCCCCATCTCCCCCTTCCCCTCTCCCCTCTCCTCTTTTCTTTCTCTCTCCCGCTCCTGCAGTTCCTATACGAGGCAATGGCGCACTACATGACACGCGTGCGTGTCATCGTGCCAGCTCAGCAGGTGCCACGTGGCGGGTACCTGTTCACGGCGCACCCCCACGGGCGCATGTTCTACAGCAGCAGCATGCTCACGCAAACCGCCCACCTCTGGAAAGACACATTCTGCCCGCACGGTAGGTCTGCTGAGCACATGACATGGTTGTATTTGGCTCCATGTAGGTCTGCTGGGCACATGACATGGTTGTATTTGGCCCCATGTAGGTCTGCTGGGCACATGACATGGTTGTATTTGGCCCCATGTAGGTCTGCTGGGCACATGCATGGCATGGTATTACAGAAGTAGTCGTGCCCCCATAGGACCTGCTCGTGGGGTACCTTGGCTGACTTACGGTCAGTGCAAAACAAGAAAAAAGAGAAAGAAAAAGAGAGATTTGTTCCAGATAAGGCATGTGTGGGCGCATGGGATGGGATCCGCACCTCCCTCATTGTTCTCTTCTCCCACACTCCCTCACATTCCCATACGTCCCTTCCAAGCGAGCTGTTCGGGGCGGCCAACAGCACCTTCTTTGAGGTGCCTGTCACCCGCTCCATGCTGCACCTCGCGCCCTCGCTCCACCCCATCCCTCTCATTCTCACCTTCCTCACCTCCTTCATCCCCCTCACCTCTCATATCCCCCAGGCGAGCTGTTCGGAGCAGCCAACAGCACCTTCTTTGAGGTGCCGGTGATTCGCTCCATGCTCTATATGGTTGGCGCCATCCCTGCCAGCCGCGGCAGCATCATTGCCAAGCTCAGGCATGGCGACCATGTGAGTGTAGTCACCCTGCAGTGTGGGAATAGGTGGGTGTAGTAACCCACATCTGTTACCATGCGGTACCTGGCCGGAGCCATCCCCGCTAGCAGAGGCAGCATCATCGCCAAACCCAGTCACACGGAAACCATGTGTAGTCACCCTGCAAAGTGGGACTCTGTGGGTGTAGCAACCCAATTTTCAGGCACTGCTGTGGTAACCTACCAATCCTTTTCTTTCCTCCCTCCAACCAATGCACACCACCCTTGATCACACCACCCTTGATCACACCACCCTTGATCACACCACCCTTGATCACACCACCCTTGATCACACCACCCTCTATCCTCCCTCTCACGCACCTCATCCTCCTCCCGCCCATGGCCCTGCATGCACGGGTGGCAGGTGGGCATAGTGGTGGGCGGCATCAGGGAGGTGTGTCTGGGCACCAACCCTCACACAGACGTGCTCTACCTCATGCGGAGGTGAGTGCATCGCTTTGAATCTCCTTGACTTGTTGACTTGCATTCGCTTGCGTTGGCTTCGTCACTGTAGTGCGCAGTGCGCAATGTTAACGGCGCTGAACCCATGGTGATGGCCATTGCCTGAATTTGTACCTTACCCATGTTGTGACTTGTGCATTGATTGCATGGCATGGCATGGCATGGTATGGCATGGCGTGTGTACATCAGGCGTGGGTTTGCACGCATAGCAGTGGAGGAGAAGGTGGGGGTGGTTCCAATGTACTGCTTCAATGAGACCCAGGTCAGTGCAACTCCCAGCCCATGCTCATGCGTGGGCATCCAGTTAAAAGAGTTGACTTTTGAGTCGACTCAAAAGTAAAGGTGGGGGTCAGTGCTACTCCTCGCCCCATGCTCATGCGTGTGCAATCTGTTACAAGCAGCAACATGCCTTCAACTGCGTAATTACATACTGGCTGGATAGGGTGGTTCCGCTGTTTGTTCCTTTCAATGCTGCTCACCTTTCTGTTTCTCCTTTCTTATTTGCCTTGCACCTCCTTTTTGTGCTTCCATTTGTCATGATGCTGCAGTTGTTCAAGCACGATCCACTCTGGCTGCTCCAGTTCTGGGCTGTGGTGAATCGCTATTGGCGTATCGGCGTCCCGTTTATGAGGGGGGTATGGCACATGCCAATGCCCTTCCGCAGGTATGGCAACGGCTTGTCTAGCTGATGCAAGGAGGTATATTTTGATTCGTATTCTGACTCTCTCTGTTTCTCGACGTGCAGGGAGCTATTGATTGTGGTTGGGAAGCCCCTGTTTGCCCGAGACGGAGAGTCTGTTGACGAGTTTCATGCTCGATACGTGGAAGAAATTTCTGTTATTTTCCATAAATTCGTCCAAATATCTTCTCGGCCGAAACACAATCTGTTGATTCGCTAGAATTTGCGACCAAAAAGTTCGTCGTAGGATGGGATTGTTTGGTTTATAAGAGATAGAAGTGGCAGGTACAAAATATTTTAACATTGTAAATATGAAACATCCTCTTGACTTTTATGTCTGAGAATCATCGCAGCTGTTAGCGGGGACATCGAGATTTCCGTGCGCACCCCTTCGATCTCTTCTTCTCACACACGCCTATCTTCTCCCTTCTCTTTCTGCTAGACCAGAGATTTGCTGGCACAGTTGTTTCTAGGGTTTCACTGCCCTCAGCCACACAAATTCCTGGGATCACGCGGCTCGTAACACCGTGTCTGTACCGAATAACGGACAGATTACTAGCGATACAGTCTCCTGGTGATCAAATCGCGGTTTGATTGAACGCCATGGCGCCCGTGCGCGAGGCCCATTTCCCCGTGCCAGTGCTCTCCGATAACCCCGACGGCTGGGGACCCACCACTCTCCCCGAGCAGTTTAAAGACGTCCCGTACGCGCCGTTCAATAAGGGCGACCGCGTCGGCCGCGCAGCGGACTGGACCTCCCAAGGATACCGTACGTCTCGTGCCGCGTGCCGTGCACCGCGGTTTCGCGCTTCCGATCCCTTGCTCTCTGCTAGGTTTATCCGTTTCGATCGCGTTACGTGGAATTAGTGGAGCCTCCGGCTGTAACGCTCAGATTGTTTGCGGCAGTCATGCCGCTGCCAGTGGGTAGGGGCCGATCCCATTCAGCTAGGGTTTAGCGAGTCTTTTGATCCCGCTGTTTCTGCTGCAGGCATCGCCTCTCGAGGTCCCACCTGTCACTCAGTTATCGTGTATCGAGGGGTCGTTTACCGAGTTCTCATCTCGTCCGTCTCTCTCGCTCCTGTCACTCCTTCGCAAATCCGTCGCTTTATTTCGCCGATTTCGCAGGTCGCTACGATCGCGATCGCCAGGGCGGGGCGGGCGGGGTGAATGCCGCCTTCTCCTTCTTCCAGGACCAGGATGAGGTGGGTGGCCTCCGTTGTCGCGTAGCGCTCGTCTCACCTCTCTGCATCCCCCGCCTATTCGAGCTATTGGCTCTCGCATGGTATCAAGCTGCTCGCCGCGTTTCGCCTGCCTCTTATCGACTGCTCAATTCCTCCTTCGTTTCTCTCCCGCACCCGTCCATCCCGTCATCACCAATCCTAATCGTCCACGTCATTGTCACCATCCACGTCACCCCGGTCGTCCACGTCATCATTGCAGGACTCGTTTCAACTGGTGGACACCAAGCCTGTGCAGAAGCCTCGTTACGGGCCCCGCCGCTTCTTCCAGGTTCGCCCGCCCTTTCCGCACTCCCCTCCCCCCCTCCCCTTTCGCTCCCCCATCATCCCCCCTTCCCCCCCATGATCCCCCCTTCCTCACCTCCCAACCCCCCACCACCCCCCCTCTTAAGCCTCATTTTCTTCTCCCGCTCCTTGGTCCAATTCCACCTTTTATTTCCAATCTAATTCTTCTCACTCACCGCGATTGTGACCTCCGTTTTTATCTCACTTATTCTTCTCTCCTCGCTGGCCGCTTCGATTTCCACTTCATTCTCCGTTCCTCTGCGCTGCCCCAATGTTTCCCACCCGTCCGCGTTCCGCCGCTCCCTCAGAATCGGTTCCAGAACCGGCGCGGGGAGGAGGGGAAGCGCGACGGGCGCGACAGCGGCGCGGGCGCGGACAGGGAGCGGCAGCGGCAGCAGCGCATGCAGCAGCAGAAGCGCGGGCAGTGGAACCCGTACTACGACCGCAACGCGCAGCGCGCGACGTACAACAGCTCCGTCGACATCCGGCCCGAGTGGGTGGTGCTCGAACAGATCCCGCTCTCCGCTCTCTCCAAGCTCTCCTTCAACGCAGGGGAGCCCCAGGACGTGTGAGTTTGAGAGAGGAGGGGGGGGGGGGGGGGGTGGAGGAGTTTGAAAAAGGGTGAGGGGAGGGGGGGCAGAGAGAGAGCGCGCGACGTACAACAGCTCCGTGGACATCCGGCCCGAGTGGGTGGTGCTCGAACAGATCCCGCTCTCCGCTCTTTCGAAGCTCTCCTTCAACGCGGGCGAGCCGCAGGACGTGTGAGTTGGAGAGAGGGCGAAGGGGAGGGGGAGAGGGGGAGAAGGAGGGAGGGAGGGAGGGAGGGAGGGAGGGAGGGAGGGAGGGAGGGAGGGAGGGAGGGAGGGAGGGAGGGAGGGAGGGAGGGAGGGAGGGAGGGAGGGAGGGAGGGAGGGAGGGAAGGAGGGAGGGAGGGGGAGGGGGAGGGGGCAGGGAAGGAGGGAGGGAGAGAGAAAGAGAGATAGGGAGGGAGAGTGTGAAGAATGAGGTAGTTGACTTGTTTTTTCGCCCTACCATTGCAGTACTTTCCCTTCCTTCCTCAACTGCTCCTTCCCCTCTTCTCCCTTTCTCTTCCTTCCCTCCTCTCCCCTCCCCTCCCCTCCCCTCCCCTCCCCTCTCCTATTCCTCCTCCCTGTGGATTATCGTCCCTTTCTCTCACACGGCCCCCTCAACGTCTTACGTCCCTACTCTTCTGTTGCAGTACGACGTGCGGCGCGCTCGAGTATTACGACAAGACGTTTGACCGAGTCAACCCCAAGGTATGGCCGTTGACCGAGTCAACCCCAAGGTATGGCCGTTGATGCTCTTGCCCCTTGTTCGAATCCTCCCTTCTTCCCCTGGCTTCCTTTCTCTCATCCCCTCCCCACCACTCCACGTCACCCCCACACCCCCCTTCCCTCTTCCCTCCCCACTTTTCCCTTCCCCTCTCCTTCCCCTCCCCCGTCCCCCCCTTCCCTCTCTCCCTTTACTCACTGTAGTCGGAGCGGCCGTTGGAGAGGTGTGAAACGCGCCAGTTCCACAAGGTGACGACGAGTGACGACCCCGTGGTGAAGCGGCTGGCGGCGGAGGGCGGAGACGCGCCCGCGGTCTTTGCCACGGACGCCATCCTCTCCACGCTCATGTGCGCGCCTCGCTCCGTGTACTCGTGGGACGTGGTCGTGCACAAGAGCGGGGGGAAGCTGTTCTTCGACCAGCGGGACTCCTCGTTTGATCTGCTCACGGTGAGTAGTTCTGGAGTGTTTCGCAGTGTGCCGTTTGGTGTGAGGCGGGATGCGTGGTGCTCGTGTTTGGTAGTGCTCCCTCCCTGCGCGCTCCATGTGCTCGACTCGTGGGATGGCATCATCCCAAGCAAGCCTCCTCCCTTCCCTGACCCTCCTTCCCTTGCTCTTTCCCATCCTTGTTACTCGCCTGCTACAGGTGAACGAGACAGCAACGGGCATAGAGCCGGCGGCAGAGGACAGCATCAACGGCATCGCGTCGCTGAGCCAGGAGGCGACGTTCATCAACCAGAACTTCTCGCAGCAGATCGTCAACAAGGTAAGGTTAACGCACGCACTGGGCACAAGGTGGGGTGAGTGGGTGCACTATAAGTTCACTGGGTGCTGTGAAGCAAGCATGGTTACGGGCACGTGGTGCGCTCAGCCAGGAGGTCACGTTTATCAACCAGAACTTCTCGCAGCAGATCGTCAAGAAGGTGAGTCAGTGGGGTGAGCACCAGGTGAGGTCGATGGGGACGGGGGGTGTTGTGAATGCCTGGTCAAGGAGGTGGTTACCTCTTTAAATGCGAGCCAGATTTGTCATTTTAGGTTTGAGAAACGGATCGTCACACTTGTGTGCCCGCCTTCCCTGCTGCCCCATCTCCCGCGTGTCTGTGTCTGTGTGTGCTTCTGCGTGTATGTGCATGTGCGTGTGTGGTGTCTGTGCATGTGGGAGCAGAAGGGAGCCAAGCGCCAGTTCGCGGAGGCGAATCCGTTTGCAGCGGAGGGCGAGGAGGTGGCGTCCGTGGCGTACCGCTACCGCAAGTGGATGCTGGACGGGGTGAGTGATGAGCGGTTGAGTGGGGTGACTGGGTGTTGGAAGGGGTGAGTGGCCACATGCTGGGGCGCGGGGGGTTGAGGTGGTGGAAATGGAGGGCGAGGAGGTGGCATTAGTGGCGTACCGCTACCGCAAGTGGATGCTGGATGGGGTGAGTGCATGCTGAGAGGAGTGGGGGTTAGGAGGGGAGAGTGAAGATAGGGGGAGCGGCTAGGCACTGGAGTGTTGGGTCTGAGCCTTAAAGCATGCAGCTGATTCGTTTCTGCTGTGCTATGTGCTGTGACCCCTCTCTCGCCCCTGCAGGACATGCCATTGGTGGTGTGCTGTGAGCTAGACGCGGTGGTGGACATGAGGGGGCAAGAGATGCTTTTACTTGCACCACACGCGCACACACATATGCATATTACTTGCCTCTCACACCCCCCTGCCTGCTCCCCTCCGCTCCCCTGCAGGACATGCCTCTGGTGGTGCGGTGCGAGTTAGACGCAGTGGTGGACATGCGGGGGCAGGAGATGCTGGCGACGGTGAATGCGCTCAACGAGTTTGATCCCAAGGTCACGGGCGTGGACTGGCGAGCCAAGATCGACAACCAGCGCGGCGCGGTGAGGTGTTGCAAATGCGCTCCACATTCACATCACAGTGGCTGTGTTGCGTTGCGCGGCGTATCTGGCTGGCCTCAAGAGCAGTCGCATGCCCCAAAGGGCTGTCTCTGGGCGCCCCACTCACGCACTGCTTGATGCGCCCATGCGTGTGCGGTGCTGCCGTGCTGCCCCTCGCCCCCTCTCCTCTGCCTCAGGTCCTGGCAACGGAGCTGAAGAACAACAGCAACAAGCTCGCCAAGTGGACGGTGCAAGCGCTGCTCGCAGGGGCCGATCTGGTGCGCTTGGCAGGGTGGGGGGAGTGCAGTGGGCGTTGAGCGGGGGAGAGTTCGATCGAGGGAAGGGTGGCGTGTGGGGAAGCGGGAATGGGTTATGGAGACTCTGGTTCCTTTGTCTCTCTCTCCTCGCATTGACTGCTTCGGTGCTGCTGCCTCTGCCCACGCTCCTCGCCTCTGCCCACGCTCCTCACCTCTGCCCACGCTCCTCACCTCTGCCCACGCTCCTCACCTCTGCCCACGCTCCTCACCTCTGCCCACGCTCCTCACCTCTGCCCACGCTCCTCGCCTCTGCCCACACTCCTCACCTCTGCCCACGCTCCTCACCTCTGCCCACGCTCCTCGCCTGCCGCATTTGCCGATGAAGCTGTGGGTACATGTTGCCAGTGTAACCCAAGCAAGCTAACTGCTCTACATCCCGCATTCTCCCCCCCCCTCCACACCTCCCCTTCCCCCGCCTTCCCCCCCATTTCTCCTTTCTCTCCGCCCCCCCCATTTCCCCTTTCTCTCCGCTGGGGAGTGCAGATGAAGCTAGGGTACGTGTCGCGAGTGTTCCCCAAGAACAACCTCAAGCACACCATCCTCGCAGTGCAGGTCAGTGCCCGTCAACGTGGGTCAACGCTGGTCAATCCATTGTTCCGACACTGTCACCGTTCCCTCTACTCGGACCATGCATGCACTCTCCTCTTGGCTCCCTCACATCACATGCAGTCTCTTTTCACCCTTCTCTACTGCTCCACGCACCACGTCTCACGCTTCTTCCTTTCTCTCCCCTCCCTATCCTCTCTCCCCTCGCCTCCCTCCCGCCCCTCGTCCTCTCAGGCGTACAAGCCGCGTGAGCTGGCGATGCAGATCACGCTCTCGTCCACCAACATGTGGGGCATCGTCAAAGTGCGTGCTGTGTGTGCACGGCATGGGGGGCATACAGGGCATGTGGGGCATGGGGGGCATGGGGGGCATGGGGGGCATACAGGGCATGTGGGGCATGGGGAGCATGGGGGGCATGGGGTACAGACACCATCATCTACAAGGCAAGGGAGCTGGCGATGCAGATCACGCTCTCGTCCACCAACATGTGGGGCATCGTCAAGGTGCGTTGTGTGCATGCGGCACATGGGGGGCATGGGGGGGATGTGGGGCATGGGGGGGATGTGGGGCACGTGGGGCACGTGGGGCATCGTGAAGGGTGTCAATGGCATGGTCACGCTTTGTCAGGGTATGCATTGTTGGTGCCTCACCTTTTTTCATGTCCCGCCTCCGTTCCTTAAAGCCCTCATCCCATCCGCCCATCCTCACCACCACCACGTGCCACATGTGTGTGGAGCATGCCTCTTCTCTGCCTTGTCTCACCCATCCCTTCCTGTTTCTCCGTCTCTTGAGTCGACTCAAAAGTCTTCTCTGCCTTGTCTCACCCATCCCTTCCTGTTTCTCCGTCTCTTGAGTCGACTCAAAAGTCTTCTCTGCCTTGTCTCACCCATCCCTTCCTGTTTCTCCGTCTCTTGAGTCGACTCAAAAGTCTTCTCTGCCTTGTCTCACCCATCCCTTCCTGTTTCTCCGTCTCTTGAGTCGACTCAAAAGTCTTCTCTGCCTTGTCTCACCCATCCCTTCCTGTTTCTCCGTCTCTTGAGTCGACTCAAAAGTCTTCTCTGCCTTGTCTCACCCATCCCTTCCTGTTTCTCCGTCTCTTGAGTCGACTCAAAAGTCTTCTCTGCCTTGTCTCACCCATCCCTTCCTGTTTCTCCGTCTCTTGAGTCGACTCAAAAGTCTTCTCTGCCTTGTCTCACCCATCCCTTCCTGTTTCTCCGTCTCTTGAGTCGACTCAAAAGTCTTCTCTGCCTTGTCTCACCCATCCCTTCCTGTTTCTCCGTCTCTTGAGTCGACTCAAAAGTCTTCTCTGCCTTGTCTCACCCATCCCTTCCTGTTTCTCCGTCTCTTGAGTCGACTCAAAAGTCTTCTCTGCCTTGTCTCACCCATCCCTTCCTGTTTCTCCGTCTCTTGAGTCGACTCAAAAGTCTTCTCTGCCTTGTCTCACCCATCCCTTCCTGTTTCTCCGTCTCTTGAGTCGACTCAAAAGTCTTCTCTGCCTTGTCTCACCCATCCCTTCCTGTTTCTCCGTCTCTTGAGTCGACTCAAAAGTCTTCTCTGCCTTGTCTCACCCATCCCTTCCTGTTTCTCCGTCTCTTGAGTCGACTCAAAAGTCTTCTCTGCCTTGTCTCACCCATCCCTTCCTGTTTCTCCGTCTCTTGAGTCGACTCAAAAGTCTTCTCTGCCTTGTCTCACCCATCCCTTCCTGTTTCTCCGTCTCTTGAGTCGACTCAAAAGTCTTCTCTGCCTTGTCTCACCCATCCCTTCCTGTTTCTCCGTCTCTTGAGTCGACTCAAAAGTCTTCTCTGCCTTGTCTCACCCATCCCTTCCTGTTTCTCCGTCTCTTGAGTCGACTCAAAAGTCTTCTCTGCCTTGTCTCACCCATCCCTTCCTGTTTCTCCGTCTCTTGAGTCGACTCAAAAGTCTTCTCTGCCTTGTCTCACCCATCCCTTCCTGTTTCTCCGTCTCTTGAGTCGACTCAAAAGTCTTCTCTGCCTTGTCTCACCCATCCCTTCCTGTTTCTCCGTCTCTTGAGTCGACTCAAAAGTCTTCTCTGCCTTGTCTCACCCATCCCTTCCTGTTTCTCCGTCTCTTGAGTCGACTCAAAAGTCTTCTCTGCCTTGTCTCACCCATCCCTTCCTGTTTCTCCGTCTCTTGAGTCGACTCAAAAGTCTTCTCTGCCTTGTCTCACCCATCCCTTCCTGTTTCTCCGTCTCTTGAGTCGACTCAAAAGTCTTCTCTGCCTTGTCTCACCCATCCCTTCCTGTTTCTCCGTCTCTTGAGTCGACTCAAAAGTCTTCTCTGCCTTGTCTCACCCATCCCTTCCTGTTTCTCCGTCTCTTGAGTCGACTCAAAAGTCTTCTCTGCCTTGTCTCACCCATCCCTTCCTGTTTCTCCGTCTCTTGAGTCGACTCAAAAGTCTTCTCTGCCTTGTCTCACCCATCCCTTCCTGTTTCTCCGTCTCTTGAGTCGACTCAAAAGTCTTCTCTGCCTTGTCTCACCCATCCCTTCCTGTTTCTCCGTCTCTTGAGTCGACTCAAAAGTCTTCTCTGCCTTGTCTCACCCATCCCTTCCTGTTTCTCCGTCTCTTGAGTCGACTCAAAAGTCTTCTCTGCCTTGTCTCACCCATCCCTTCCTGTTTCTCCGTCTCTTGAGTCGACTCAAAAGTCTTCTCTGCCTTGTCTCACCCATCCCTTCCTGTTTCTCCGTCTCTTGAGTCGACTCAAAAGTCTTCTCTGCCTTGTCTCACCCATCCCTTCCTGTTTCTCCGTCTCTTGAGTCGACTCAAAAGTCTTCTCTGCCTTGTCTCACCCATCCCTTCCTGTTTCTCCGTCTCTTGAGTCGACTCAAAAGTCTTCTCTGCCTTGTCTCACCCATCCCTTCCTGTTTCTCCGTCTCTTGAGTCGACTCAAAAGTCTTCTCTGCCTTGTCTCACCCATCCCTTCCTGTTTCTCCGTCTCTTGAGTCGACTCAAAAGTCTTCTCTGCCTTGTCTCACCCATCCCTTCCTGTTTCTCCGTCTCTTGAGTCGACTCAAAAGTCTTCTCTGCCTTGTCTCACCCATCCCTTCCTGTTTCTCCGTCTCTTGAGTCGACTCAAAAGTCTTCTCTGCCTTGTCTCACCCATCCCTTCCTGTTTCTCCGTCTCTTGAGTCGACTCAAAAGTCTTCTCTGCCTTGTCTCACCCATCCCTTCCTGTTTCTCCGTCTCTTGAGTCGACTCAAAAGTCTTCTCTGCCTTGTCTCACCCATCCCTTCCTGTTTCTCCGTCTCTTGAGTCGACTCAAAAGTCTTCTCTGCCTTGTCTCACCCATCCCTTCCTGTTTCTCCGTCTCTTGAGTCGACTCAAAAGTCTTCTCTGCCTTGTCTCACCCATCCCTTCCTGTTTCTCCGTCTCTTGAGTCGACTCAAAAGTCTTCTCTGCCTTGTCTCACCCATCCCTTCCTGTTTCTCCGTCTCTTGAGTCGACTCAAAAGTCTTCTCTGCCTTGTCTCACCCATCCCTTCCTGTTTCTCCGTCTCTTGAGTCGACTCAAAAGTCTTCTCTGCCTTGTCTCACCCATCCCTTCCTGTTTCTCCGTCTCTTGAGTCGACTCAAAAGTCTTCTCTGCCTTGTCTCACCCATCCCTTCCTGTTTCTCCGTCTCTTGAGTCGACTCAAAAGTCTTCTCTGCCTTGTCTCACCCATCCCTTCCTGTTTCTCCGTCTCTTGAGTCGACTCAAAAGTCTTCTCTGCCTTGTCTCACCCATCCCTTCCTGTTTCTCCGTCTCTTGAGTCGACTCAAAAGTCTTCTCTGCCTTGTCTCACCCATCCCTTCCTGTTTCTCCGTCTCTTGAGTCGACTCAAAAGTCTTCTCTGCCTTGTCTCACCCATCCCTTCCTGTTTCTCCGTCTCTTGAGTCGACTCAAAAGTCTTCTCTGCCTTGTCTCACCCATCCCTTCCTGTTTCTCCGTCTCTTGAGTCGACTCAAAAGTCTTCTCTGCCTTGTCTCACCCATCCCTTCCTGTTTCTCCGTCTCTTGAGTCGACTCAAAAGTCTTCTCTGCCTTGTCTCACCCATCCCTTCCTGTTTCTCCGTCTCTTGAGTCGACTCAAAAGTCTTCTCTGCCTTGTCTCACCCATCCCTTCCTGTTTCTCCGTCTCTTGAGTCGACTCAAAAGTCTTCTCTGCCTTGTCTCACCCATCCCTTCCTGTTTCTCCGTCTCTTGAGTCGACTCAAAAGTCTTCTCTGCCTTGTCTCACCCATCCCTTCCTGTTTCTCCGTCTCTTGAGTCGACTCAAAAGTCTTCTCTGCCTTGTCTCACCCATCCCTTCCTGTTTCTCCGTCTCTTGAGTCGACTCAAAAGTCTTCTCTGCCTTGTCTCACCCATCCCTTCCTGTTTCTCCGTCTCTTGAGTCGACTCAAAAGTCTTCTCTGCCTTGTCTCACCCATCCCTTCCTGTTTCTCCGTCTCTTGAGTCGACTCAAAAGTCTTCTCTGCCTTGTCTCACCCATCCCTTCCTGTTTCTCCGTCTCTTGAGTCGACTCAAAAGTCTTCTCTGCCTTGTCTCACCCATCCCTTCCTGTTTCTCCGTCTCTTGAGTCGACTCAAAAGTCTTCTCTGCCTTGTCTCACCCATCCCTTCCTGTTTCTCCGTCTCTTGAGTCGACTCAAAAGTCTTCTCTGCCTTGTCTCACCCATCCCTTCCTGTTTCTCCGTCTCTTGAGTCGACTCAAAAGTCTTCTCTGCCTTGTCTCACCCATCCCTTCCTGTTTCTCCGTCTCTTGAGTCGACTCAAAAGTCTTCTCTGCCTTGTCTCACCCATCCCTTCCTGTTTCTCCGTCTCTTGAGTCGACTCAAAAGTCTTCTCTGCCTTGTCTCACCCATCCCTTCCTGTTTCTCCGTCTCTTGAGTCGACTCAAAAGTCTTCTCTGCCTTGTCTCACCCATCCCTTCCTGTTTCTCCGTCTCTTGAGTCGACTCAAAAGTCTTCTCTGCCTTGTCTCACCCATCCCTTCCTGTTTCTCCGTCTCTTGAGTCGACTCAAAAGTCTTCTCTGCCTTGTCTCACCCATCCCTTCCTGTTTCTCCGTCTCTTGAGTCGACTCAAAAGTCTTCTCTGCCTTGTCTCACCCATCCCTTCCTGTTTCTCCGTCTCTTGAGTCGACTCAAAAGTCTTCTCTGCCTTGTCTCACCCATCCCTTCCTGTTTCTCCGTCTCTTGAGTCGACTCAAAAGTCTTCTCTGCCTTGTCTCACCCATCCCTTCCTGTTTCTCCGTCTCTTGAGTCGACTCAAAAGTCTTCTCTGCCTTGTCTCACCCATCCCTTCCTGTTTCTCCGTCTCTTGAGTCGACTCAAAAGTCTTCTCTGCCTTGTCTCACCCATCCCTTCCTGTTTCTCCGTCTCTTGAGTCGACTCAAAAGTCTTCTCTGCCTTGTCTCACCCATCCCTTCCTGTTTCTCCGTCTCTTGAGTCGACTCAAAAGTCTTCTCTGCCTTGTCTCACCCATCCCTTCCTGTTTCTCCGTCTCTTGAGTCGACTCAAAAGTCTTCTCTGCCTTGTCTCACCCATCCCTTCCTGTTTCTCCGTCTCTTGAGTCGACTCAAAAGTCTTCTCTGCCTTGTCTCACCCATCCCTTCCTGTTTCTCCGTCTCTTGAGTCGACTCAAAAGTCTTCTCTGCCTTGTCTCACCCATCCCTTCCTGTTTCTCCGTCTCTTGAGTCGACTCAAAAGTCTTCTCTGCCTTGTCTCACCCATCCCTTCCTGTTTCTCCGTCTCTTGAGTCGACTCAAAAGTCTTCTCTGCCTTGTCTCACCCATCCCTTCCTGTTTCTCCGTCTCTTGAGTCGACTCAAAAGTCTTCTCTGCCTTGTCTCACCCATCCCTTCCTGTTTCTCCGTCTCTTGAGTCGACTCAAAAGTCTTCTCTGCCTTGTCTCACCCATCCCTTCCTGTTTCTCCGTCTCTTGAGTCGACTCAAAAGTCTTCTCTGCCTTGTCTCACCCATCCCTTCCTGTTTCTCCGTCTCTTGAGTCGACTCAAAAGTCTTCTCTGCCTTGTCTCACCCATCCCTTCCTGTTTCTCCGTCTCTTGAGTCGACTCAAAAGTCTTCTCTGCCTTGTCTCACCCATCCCTTCCTGTTTCTCCGTCTCTTGAGTCGACTCAAAAGTCTTCTCTGCCTTGTCTCACCCATCCCTTCCTGTTTCTCCGTCTCTTGAGTCGACTCAAAAGTCTTCTCTGCCTTGTCTCACCCATCCCTTCCTGTTTCTCCGTCTCTTGAGTCGACTCAAAAGTCTTCTCTGCCTTGTCTCACCCATCCCTTCCTGTTTCTCCGTCTCTTGAGTCGACTCAAAAGTCTTCTCTGCCTTGTCTCACCCATCCCTTCCTGTTTCTCCGTCTCTTGAGTCGACTCAAAAGTCTTCTCTGCCTTGTCTCACCCATCCCTTCCTGTTTCTCCGTCTCTTGAGTCGACTCAAAAGTCTTCTCTGCCTTGTCTCACCCATCCCTTCCTGTTTCTCCGTCTCTTGAGTCGACTCAAAAGTCTTCTCTGCCTTGTCTCACCCATCCCTTCCTGTTTCTCCGTCTCTTGAGTCGACTCAAAAGTCTTCTCTGCCTTGTCTCACCCATCCCTTCCTGTTTCTCCGTCTCTTGAGTCGACTCAAAAGTCTTCTCTGCCTTGTCTCACCCATCCCTTCCTGTTTCTCCGTCTCTTGAGTCGACTCAAAAGTCTTCTCTGCCTTGTCTCACCCATCCCTTCCTGTTTCTCCGTCTCTTGAGTCGACTCAAAAGTCTTCTCTGCCTTGTCTCACCCATCCCTTCCTGTTTCTCCGTCTCTTGAGTCGACTCAAAAGTCTTCTCTGCCTTGTCTCACCCATCCCTTCCTGTTTCTCCGTCTCTTGAGTCGACTCAAAAGTCTTCTCTGCCTTGTCTCACCCATCCCTTCCTGTTTCTCCGTCTCTTGAGTCGACTCAAAAGTCTTCTCTGCCTTGTCTCACCCATCCCTTCCTGTTTCTCCGTCTCTTGAGTCGACTCAAAAGTCTTCTCTGCCTTGTCTCACCCATCCCTTCCTGTTTCTCCGTCTCTTGAGTCGACTCAAAAGTCTTCTCTGCCTTGTCTCACCCATCCCTTCCTGTTTCTCCGTCTCTTGAGTCGACTCAAAAGTCTTCTCTGCCTTGTCTCACCCATCCCTTCCTGTTTCTCCGTCTCTTGAGTCGACTCAAAAGTCTTCTCTGCCTTGTCTCACCCATCCCTTCCTGTTTCTCCGTCTCTTGAGTCGACTCAAAAGTCTTCTCTGCCTTGTCTCACCCATCCCTTCCTGTTTCTCCGTCTCTTGAGTCGACTCAAAAGTCTTCTCTGCCTTGTCTCACCCATCCCTTCCTGTTTCTCCGTCTCTTGAGTCGACTCAAAAGTCTTCTCTGCCTTGTCTCACCCATCCCTTCCTGTTTCTCCGTCTCTTGAGTCGACTCAAAAGTCTTCTCTGCCTTGTCTCACCCATCCCTTCCTGTTTCTCCGTCTCTTGAGTCGACTCAAAAGTCTTCTCTGCCTTGTCTCACCCATCCCTTCCTGTTTCTCCGTCTCTTGAGTCGACTCAAAAGTCTTCTCTGCCTTGTCTCACCCATCCCTTCCTGTTTCTCCGTCTCTTGAGTCGACTCAAAAGTCTTCTCTGCCTTGTCTCACCCATCCCTTCCTGTTTCTCCGTCTCTTGAGTCGACTCAAAAGTCTTCTCTGCCTTGTCTCACCCATCCCTTCCTGTTTCTCCGTCTCTCAATCACACTTCCCTGTTCTTCCTCTCCCCCCCATCACCAACAGCACATAGTGGACATGTGTATGACGCTCGAGGACGGCAAGTACCTCATCGTCTGCCTTGTCTCACACATCCCTCCCTCCCTGTTCCTCGTGTGTCGCCCGCACTTCCCATTCCCCCCCCTCCCCACCCCCATCCCCACCCCCATCCCCACCAACAGCACATAGTGGACATGTGTATGAAGCTCGAGGACGGCAAATACCTCATCGTCAAGGACCCCAACAAGCCCTTCCTCAGGTAAACCTTTTCTCAGGTAAACCCTCCCCCACGTGGGTAAGCCCTTCCTTTCTTCCAGGTGCTAGGCACCTTATCGTCAAGGACCCCAAGAAGCCCTTCCTCAGGTGAGCCCTCCCCCAGGTAGGCAAGCCCTTCCTCAGTCTAGTTTTTCAGGCTGCCACAACATGTCCACCTGGTGCCTTCATGCCCCACACCACTCCTTCTCCCTCACAATCTCTCTTTCTCCGACCCCCACACATGCACTCTCTCCCCCCAACCCCCCTCTCCCCCCCCCATGCAGGCTGTACGAGGTGCCATCAGACGCGTTTGACAATGACTATGTGGAGGAGCCCCTTGCCGAGGTAAGCCCCCCTCCTCTCTCCCCTCCCCCCATTCCCGAGGTAAGGTCTCCCCAAGTGACTCTTTACTTTATATCCACCCTGCCTCTTGCCATAGTGTGTCTCATGTGTGAGCCTCATGCTGCCTCCCTCTTCTCTGAATGCACTCGTGGCACTGGTGCACTGTGCAGGAGGACCAGGCCCCACCGCCCGCAGAAGCGGCTGATGGCGACGCAGAGGCAGCAGCAGCAACTGACTCCAATGCTGCTGCGTGATTTCAATCTGGCGTCTAGGGTTTGCTCTGTGCTGGTAGAGCTTGTGTCCACGCAATTTTGTCAGGCTCACTCTGTCTGTGTTTGTTTGCAATGCAATGCAAGTAGGTTATGTTGTGCTGCATTGCTGGCTATTGCAGTGTATTCGTAAATTGCTATACTGTACCATGTTTCATGAAGGACATCGTGTAAGGAGATACTAATCCATGTCAGGTGGAGTTCTGCAGGGTAGTGAGGTAGGTAAGGTAATTAATCCCTCATCATAACAAAGAGAGAAAGCCAAGTGCTTTAGCAACCTCTCATGCTGCATTAGCAATCCCTCATCAAGTGTCACTCGAAACGCCATTCCAACATCTAGGCAAGGCAAAACAGTACCCACCCATACAGCACTTCCAGCCGGCCAGGCAAGCCCCACTTGGTGCATCACCGCCTCGCCCAAGGGCAGCTGCATGGTCCCCTCCCCACTGGTCCGCAAGAATGTCCCCCTCCCTCCCAACTCTCTTCCAACCTGTCCCCCTCCCAAGTGACTTTCGAATCGCCTCAAAAGGGCCAAGGTCAAACCAGTTGATCAAACGGCCAATATGCATGAGACAGAACCCATGCTACTTCTCCTTTCCCACTTCCTAAACGTCCCCTCCTCTGTGTCCTCAGCACCCCTTCCCCCGTGTGCTGCAGCAAACGCAACGAGTACGACCTACGGAGTGAAACCAGACTTAGAAACTCAAATGAGCAGCACCGGCTCGTACCCTACCGCTGCACGTGAGACGGCACAGTCGCCTCCACCCTCCCCTCCTCCTCAACTCCTTCTCTCCTCCTTCACTCCTCCCCTCGCACCTTCTCACCTGCTTTCTGTACCTATCGCATCAAGCCCTGCCCATGGACCGGAGCCACCCCTGCACTTCACATACAAGTGAGAGCAGCACCGGCACGTACCACTACCTCCTCCTCCTTGCCCCCTCCACTGCTCCGTTTACACCTCCTCCTCAGTGTGCTGCACCACAGCATCGAGCCCGCCCCATGGATCGGAACCACCTCTGCTCATACCCAATGGGCGTCAGCAGCACCGGCACATACCCGTGCAAGTGTGGCAGCATAGTCGCCTTCTCCCTTCTCCCTTTCCTCCTCCCCTCCTCCTCCCCTCCTCACCTCTTCCCCCCTCCCCCTTCTCCCACCGCATCAAGCCCGGCCCATACTCTGGAACCATCGCTGCACATACCCAATGGGCGTCATCAGCATTGGCACGTACCGCTGCACATGCGGCAGCACCGTCGTCTCCAAATGCCCCCAGATCTGCCGGTGATACCACGCCGATGCCGGCGCGTGAAACCGCATCTTGAGCAGCTGCCAGTACAGAAACACCTGGAAGAAGCTGCGCTGGGGAGTCAGCAGGTAGAACGCTAGGAGAGGCCCTAGCATGACCTCTGTGTTTGCTGTGAATAGCTCTACCTGTTGTCGATTTGCTGCTACCCACTCGCAGGGTTTTGAAAGGTATGATCGGTAGAGGCTTGCCTGGCTGAAGTTCTGCTGGAGATGCGTGGTGAGCGGGAGGAGGGAGCGCGCGGCGAGGGGCAGGAGCGCGAGCGCGATGGGGTGCGGGGACGGGAGGAAGACGGAGCAGTGCATGAGCGTGAGGAGGTGGGGTCCGGTTAGGAGGGTTTGCAGCCAGGATTTGAGTGCGGGGAGGGAGAGCGCGGCGGGGCGGCCGTGGCGCTGCAGGATGGAGAGGGCGGACGCGACGAGCCCGCCGAACAGGGCGAAGCGGAAGGCGCGCACGAGCAGCGCGCGCGGGCACAGGGGGAAGAGCGCGACCAGCGCCATCGTTACCACCCACGCGTGCGCCACGAACGTGTATGTCTGCAGGCCCATGCGCGTGTTACCACCTGTGGAACCGCCAGTGCTACTGCTGGTAGTACCTCCGGTTCTGCCGCTGCTGCCAGGAGCGCCGCTGCCTCCCGTGCCAGCTGCCGAGGCTCGGCCCGAGGCTGAGGGTCGGGGCGCAGTGGAGGCGGAGGAGGGCGCGGCACAGGCGGACGAGGCGGGGGGCGTGGCGGAGGCGGGGGAAGCGGCGGGCTGCAGAGGGTCGACTTGGAAGTCGGAGTCTACGCACTGGCGGAAGAACTTTTGTCTGTACCGGCGGAGTACGGCGGGATCGTTGGCTCTATCCGGCGGAATGGTGAGGTTGTTGAAATAGTCGCGCCACGCCGCGCTTCCCGCGAAGTCGAAGGCCGCGAACGCCGCCTGCTGCTCCGCCGTGTTACCCATTGAAATTGCGGGTGCGCTGGCGACGGGCGACGCGGTGTGGTGTGCGGATGCGGTGGAGAGGAAGAGCCGTGGGGGACGGGTGATGGAGGAATGGCTTGATGCTGCGCCGCGGCGGGTGTGCTGGCTGGAGAATGACGGACCTAAAGAGGCAGGCCTTGAAGCCTGGCACGGATGTAAGGGAGAGACGAGACGAGACGAGATGGACGGGAGGAGCGAATGAGCACGGTGAAGCGCGACGGCAATATGAATTACGGTAGAGAAAGGGGAAACGAAGAGAATCGAATATGTGGTTTAGCGGATTCTTGCGAAACGAACGATACTTATGCAGGTCTTCATCGCCGTCATATCTGCCTTTTGGACGGTCAGCGAACCTTACCGATTGCGCGCCGCGAGGACCAAGCCGTTAGCTGCCGGCAATTCAACGGCGTTTCGCCGTCGATCCTGGAGGCTCCGACGTCTCCGTCAGCGGAAGAGACTATCACGTAACTATGTTAATGGTTTAGTAATTGGCTATCACGTCGCCCTTAGGGCGACGTCAGGTTGTACAACTTTTTGTACACCCACTCCGGTAGACTTTGTTCCAGCACGGTGCAGAGCGGTAAACGTCGAGAACCGTTTTTCACCGTTTTGGACCGTTCTGAACCACGACATAGGAACTGTAAGCTCCTGTGAAATTTATAACCTGACGTCGCCCTAAGTTTTGTTGAGACTGAACATTGAACCAAGTGCAAAATCCAGCGAGCGAGGGTTCACTGGTAACAAATAACATTTCGCATGAATTTCTCGGACGTTCGAGTATCACAAGAGCACAGGACCACTCCACACCACATTGCAACCCGATCTGGCTGGGTCCTGGTACCCAGATCTTGCCAGAATAAAATGTTCGAGGAGCACGAAGGGTATGCAACAGGGGCACCACGCCACTCAAGCCTTCGGAGTTTGTTTGCTCGGAGTCGCCACGCAATAGATAATCCCGAGGGGTAGAAATTCGTCCGCCACGCACTAGAGGACCTGGACGTCATGATCATTCACGGGCCCACCTGTAGTGGCAAGCTATCTCCCAATGTCACTGTCAAGATTCTACTCCGCTCACGTCACTCACACCGGAGTATGAGCTTCTATTCTTTAAAGTGCTATCGTCGCTTCTCCCATACAACAGTGGTCGTGGAGGTCTTACTGCTTCGCCATCAGGTTAGCTCCGCCTCAGAGTGTGAAATACTGATCGTTTTTGCCGTGTCGCTTGGCCGTCAAGAATAGTTTGTTTATCAAACACACCGTCGGATCACTCTCCTAAACGATCGTCGCCGTCGTACACACCTCGTCAGCGACAAGCATAACTAACGTGTAGCTCTGTCGACGATCTATGTAACGCCGTCGCCACAGCCACCGACGCTACACGTGCTGACCATTCTGCTGTACGTATTAGTGACAGTTAAAGCTGAGGTACTTGATGAGCCATGGTGCCAAGGACGCCATGAACATAAGAAGCTGCCATGGAAACTAGCAGAGCCTAAGAGCGGCAACATTCAGGAAAGAAGCATACTAGTCAAATGGGATAGCATGCCGACCGAAGCAATTTTTAGGTAAGGAGGGAGAAGGGGATGCCTGGGGAGTGGTCAGGAAGGCGGAACAAGCAAACAATCCCTTCCGCTGCTCATGGTTTCTCAAACCCTTACCTGCCATAACTACTTGTTTCGACCAAAGGTATTGCGCGTGGGGATTTTTTTTGTTATCCGTCACTTCGCCGAATCCCTAACTTTTTTTCTGCTTTCCCTCTCTTCGCATCTGTTCCAGCCCTCGGATTGCCAGGATGGTTGCTCGCGGAGTGACACTGGATGAAGCATGGATGGACGCCCCGAATTTTTTATAAATGCAAAAAACTTAATCTTGGGAGCTGGAGCACTGAAGAAGAAGCAGCCAAGATTTATGACAGGTAAGATTGTCAGCGCATAGTATTGTCAGCTTCCGGGAAGCTTCTGGCGTGCTTCACGGGTTATGGACAGCTGCATGTGCTGCTGATGTCAGACCTAAACAGTCGGATCTCCCATTATGGTGATGCCATTAGGTGCTCTTTAAGTGCCCACGCACCCCTCTTTCCTCCGTGTTCCCACCCAGTACCCGCTCTGTTTCTCCATGCCTCCACTGCGTCTGCTGCAGTTCGTGTTGTCACGATACTCCATGACATGGAATGGCAAGGGTGCAGTGCTGCTCTCATGGCAGCACCTTCCCCTTGCTCTCATGGCAGCACCTTCCCCTTGCTCTCATGGCAGCACCTTCCCCTTGCTCTCATGGCAGCACCTTCCCCTTGCTCTCATGGCAGCACCTTCCCCTTGCTCTCATGGCAGCACCTTCCCCTTGCTCTCATGGCAGTACCTTCCCCTTGCTCTCATGGCTGCACCTTCCCCTTTGCTCTCATGGCAGCACCTTCCCCTTGCTCTCATGGCAGCACCTTCCCCTTGCTCTCATGGCAGCACCTTCCCCTTGCTCTCATGGCAGCACCTTCCCCTTGCTCTCATGGCAGCACCTTCCCCTTTGCTCTCATGGCAGCACCTTCCCCTTGCTCTCATGGCAGCACCTTCCCCTTGCTCTCATGGCAGCACCTTCCCCGTGTTCTCCCTTGCTTGCAGGGCGGCATATAAGTTCCAAGGATCCAAAGCTCAGTTGAACATTGGACTCTCGGAGGAAGAAAAGAGGGAGCTCGACGCCGAGTCGGAGGAGGATTTCGTGACTTCCATACGCAA